CTCTGACAGGTCACCAAGGACCAGTATGGCAGGTGGCTTGGGCTCATCCAAAGTTTGGCTCTTTACTTGCTTCTTGTTGTTATGATGGGCGTGTGATTATTTGGAAGGAAGGCAATCAGAATGAATGGAGTCAGGCTCATATGTTTGATGAGCATAAGTCATCTGTTAATTTAATCGCTTGGGCCCCTCATGAATTGGGACTTTGTTTGGCATGCGGTTCTTCCGATGGAAATATATCGGTTTTCACCTCTAGGGCAGACGGAGGCTGGGATGTATCAAGGATTGATCAGGCTCACCCGGTTGGTGTAACATCTGTTTCATGGGCTCCATCGACAGCACCCGGTGCTCTAGTTGGTTCTGGCTTGCTGGACCCTGTTCAGAAACTTTGCTCTGGTGGATGTGATAACACTGTAAAAGTGTGGAAGCTCTACAATGGAACCTGGAAGATGGATTGCTTTCCAGCTCTTCAAATGCATACTGATTGGGTACGGGATGTCGCTTGGGCACCCAATCTGGGGCTACCGAAATCTACCATCGCAAGCGCGTCCCAGGACGGGAAAGTAATTATATGGACAGTGGCCAAGGAAGGGGATCAGTGGGAAGGTAAAGTATTGCATGATTTCGGTACCCCGGTGTGGAGGGTGTCATGGTCATTGACCGGAAACATATTGGCTGTGGCTGATGGGAACAACAATGTGACATTGTGGAAAGAAGCTGTAGATGGGGAGTGGCAACAGGTGACTGTTGTTGAGCCATAACACTCTTCTTTTTTTCCTTTTAATTTCTCTGTCGTGATATTTAGTATCTTTTACAACCTGATTAGTTACATGTATGAGAATACAGTTTCGTAGTTGAAGAATCATTTGTGCCTTGAAATTCTAGAACTCAAAAAGGTTCAGCTTGAATTTTCTATTGGATTTGGATGTAGTTTGCAGATCCATGTTGTTAAAGAAACTTGTTATATACCTGAAACTGTTGACGTTTACTTATTTTGATGATCATAACCTCTACTTCTTGTTAATCTATGTCTGCCATGAGAGTATCTGTTATTTTATCTTAAAGGTTGTGATATGCAATGCCTTGCTTGAATTAATTCAGTTAATTCAAATGTCAAATGTTTACGGCTCTATCGAAACAACCGGTAGCGAACGGACCTGCCTTAGTTGAAACAAGCCTAAGATTTCTAATGTAGCGTGTATAGTTCCACAGCTCCATGTCTTCGAGGCCTAGGCTTCCCTTGGCTCTAGGTGGTAAACCATTTGCCGGCTAATTTGAGCTTCCGTTAGCTTTTTCTCCTTACCAGAAGTAGGAATTGCAAATATGTGACCTTTTCTCGCCTTTTATATATCTTACGACGCGGTTGCTATCCCGATGAGTGATTAATTCGACTATTTCTTGCGACAAAAGGTTGTTGTCGACAATAAGAATGAACAAGCATGGCTTCATTATATTAGCTATGAGTTTTCTAATGTATCTGTAAATCATAGAACAGCAAGCAATGGGTTATCCTTTTATTTCATTGAAGGAAGATTATTATTATTTAAATATGTTGTGCATATAATATATAATAATGGTATCCATATAAGTGAGATTCATTTGTGTCCCATCCATCATCATCTCAGCTGCCTCAGTTAAGGACCATGGCTAAATGTGAGTATTAAATGTATGCGGGTAGGAGTGTTCAATCGAGTCGAATAATTTTTTTTTGAATTATTTAAGTTGACAGGCCTTATTTTATAACTCAAACTTGATTTGGAATTTTTCAAGTCAAGTTATAAAATTCGAGTTGAGATTTTGTTTAAATTTAATTGTTAATATTTATAATATTTTGATATTATTTTAATCAATTTAAATTATTTTTTTATAATCATATACAATACATATATATTTCTTATATTTTTTTCATATATGGTATACATATATCATAAAGAGTTTTAATTCTAACTTAAAAATCAATCGACTAATCATTAAAAATCTTGAGTTATTCAAATTGTATTTTATAATTCGACTTGAACTTGAAAATTTTTCAAGTCAAGTCGAATATATGAAATTACAATTCGAAGTTAATTCGAATTGAGTTTTTTTTCGAATCGAGTTGAAAAAATTAATTTTTCGAGTCAATTTTTGTTCCCTAAGTTTAAGAACATAATTAAAGGGGACAAAAAGATAATTTATTTCTTTTCTTTTACACATAAAAGAAAGCTCATGATTTGAAACACATGGACCTTTTTTCCTTCCCAAAGTTCTTATGATCTTATGGACTCCATCTCATTTTAACGAGGTGAACAGCCAACACGAAAACTCATTTTCGCATCAACATAATAATAATTAAAATCAGAAATAAATAATTAGATAAATAAATGGGTAAGTTATACGGATGGTCTCCTTTTTTTCGATCTGATCAATTTTGGTCTCCGGTTTAAAAAATTAAGTGTGTTTGATCCCTTACATTATCAATTCGTTCGATTTTAATCTTTCAACCGTTAATTCTCGTTAACCCCTTAACGGCGTGATAATTAAAAATTTATTCTTCTCTTACCCAACAAAGAAGAGTTAGCTCAAAACACTTCAAAATCGGAGTTAACAAGTTGCGACAGCACTCCCAGCGTCAAGAATCGTTTTGGTTTCTTTAATTTATATGCTAATTATTCATAATTACTTCAGATTAAGAATCGTTTTTGCTTGAATGAAAGGAACAACGTTCAGCATTCAAGGTTACCCTTCCCCCTTCTTCTGGAGCTTCGTTGATAATTTTTAGATAATTAGAGTATATTGAAAATTTTAGTCTTCACATGTTAATTGATTCACATAATGTCTTACTTAGATTAACTATATTGGTTTTTGCAATGAAATTGGAGCTAATTCTTTTATCACTTATTCCATAATGCATAATGTAAAGCGCTTTGGAGTTTTTATTTATTTAATTGTTTTGTTTTCTTTAAGGAAGTCGAAGATTGATAGGGAATTCTATCAATCTTCGAACAGTAGGATTTAATATATGCCTAGTATGGGTTATTGGCTTATTCCTAACAAGTTTGAATAATCCTTGTTTTCGCATTGGCCTATGGTTTTGATTTTACAATGATTATATACTTATAGTTTCAATTTTCTTTTTGAGGGGCTTTTTATTTGTTCTTTTCTACCTATCGATTGAAAAAAAATCGAGAATCTTACTTTGGATTAGGTGCCATCATAGAATTTAGTGGCTTCCTGATTTTCTTTTGTATGAAGTCATATCTGATGTTGGTATTGGGTACATGTTTAGGTCCCAGCTTGTGGTTCTTAAGCCTCCTTTGATCAACTGAGTTTCATGTCTGATCTCGACGCCCAGATCCCAACTGCCTTTGGTATGCTCAGATCCTAACTTCCTGAGTTTTGCTATTTATCGTAATTGTTGATGTTTGTTGTTAATTTTGGGTTTAACTTGGGGGTTTCTATTATTGGGCTAGATCCCTTTGCTGATGCAAATGCTGATGACTCGGGTGCCGGTGCAAAGGAGTATGTGCACATTCGTATTCAGCAACGGAACGGCAGGAAAAGCTTGACAACCGTCCAGGGGTTGAAGAAAGAATTCAGCTACAACAAGATACTCAAAAGACCTGAAGAAGGAGTTTTGCTGCAATGGTACTGTGGTCCAACACCCTGAATTAGGACTGGTATATCTATAACTCCTTTCGATATTATTAACATCGTCGATACCCATTATCGGATGGTGGTTAAGTTTGTTACGTTGTTGTTTATGTTTAGGTTATTCAACTTCAAGGTGACCAGAGCAAGAATGTATCCACCTTGTTCAGGTTATTGTTATTTTGCATCTTTTGAATATGTGTATGCTAAAGAACATCCGCTGCAGTTTGGTGTTCGAGTTCCTAATCTTCATCACATTTCTTTTTCGATCAGGCTAGCATCGTGAAGAAGGACAACATCAAAATTCACGGTTTCTAAGTCGCTGCGACTTGAGAATTTTCTTCTAATTCGGACGATCCTTGTGTCGAAGCAGGGACATTATGTTGGTTTGATAACAGCATATGCATCGCTTACTTATTGTTTCAGTTCATTTGATGATATCATGAAATGTATGGAAGTTTGTTTCTTTATGTTTCAATGATAAAACTAGTGATCTTGTTGTCATCCGATTATTTTCTCCATTTAGTTTTGGTTTAATTTCATCTTTTTAATTAACCGTTGTTATTCAATCTATTGATAGGCTAATCCATATGAGACGACTGTCACAATTCAGTTTATTTCATTTGTAATGATTATGATTCGAATTTCTAATCTTGCTTAAAGAATCAAGTATTAATCTTATTAAACTAACTGGTCGGTGGGTTTAATGTTATCACTTCTAAAGAAACTTCAAATTTCTTTGCAGACGGTCCAATTATTGATTTCGTATATATTTTTTTAATAATTGTGCTTAATGTATTAAATAGTTTAATAACATTCTATTAATTTTAATATATTCATTTATTCATAGTTTATTTTTCTCACCATATATCTTATGATTTATTTCTCTCACCATCTTTTTTAAATAGTCTATAATATTATAGAATAATATCTATTTAAAATTTTATTTTTATAATCATCGTTATTGATTTATTAATTAATTAATCTAGATAAGTATGAGTGATTCGGTAGAGATTTGAAATTTATAATAGAATAATATTTTTAAAATTATTAATGGAAGAAAAGTCTAAAAGTTAAAATAATTTTATATTATAATTTATAATTAAAATAGTCCACTTTGACGACTCAAGGCCTAGTCAACAGTGAACAGAAGAAATCAAAGGAAACAGTTGTAGTCTAAATTTATTGGATTCTTCCGGAAAACCTCATTTCCACCACTACAAGCTTTCTTCCTTTCGTATTAATAATTATACAGAAATTGCTCAGAAGCCTTTGTTTTTAAATTTGATCTCCTTTTCTCTTCATTCTTGCTCTTTTACTTGGACTGTTCCTAGTTTCTTCCTGCGTTTTAGGCCATCTATGTGTGTGTGTGTGTGTGTATATATATATTGATATTGAACATCAGATTGAGATATCCTTTTCTTCCTCCTATAATTCTCCATGTTGTCGTTACCTTCGTCTTCCTCGTCTATTTCTAGACACAAATATGATGTCTTCTTGAGTTTTAGAGGTGAAGATACCCGCAGAAGTTTTACAGATCATCTCTATGATGCTCTTCAACGCAGTGGAATCGTCACTTTCAGGGATGATCCAAAGCTGGAGGCCGGCGAAGAGATTGCGCCAGAACTCTTTAAAGCCATTCAACAATCATGGTGCTCGGTAATCGTTTTCTCCAAAACCTACGCCTTTTCAAGTTGGTGTTTGGAGGAGCTTGCTGAGATTGTTAAACAAAAATTGGAAAAAGGTCATAAAGTATTTCCAATTTTCTATGATGTGGATCCGTCTGATTTAAGGAAACAAAAGGATAAAGTTGGAGAAGCATTTGCCAAACACGAAGAGACATACAAGGAAGATCAACACAAGGTCCAAAGATGGCGAAATGCTTTGACTGAGGTTTCTTACATCAAGGGATGGCATTTGAATAACAAGTAATTCATTCTTTATCTGTTCATTTCTTAAACTGAATAAAAAAACTAAATTTAATTTCTATTGTAGGCATGAATCTGAATTCATTGGAGATATTGTTAAAAAAGTATCAGCAACATTATGTCAAACGTATCCTGTTGTTCATGATAAGCTGGTCGGAATTAGTTCCCGTTTGGAGGAGTTGTATTCAAAAATGGATATTGGGGAAGATGATGTCCGTATTATAGGAATATGTGGAATGGGTGGCATCGGTAAAACCACTCTTGCAAGAGTTGTTTACGACCAAATGTCATCTCATTTTGATGGCAAAAGCTTTCTTGCTAATGTTCGAGAAGTTTCAAACAAATTGGGACTGAAGGAGGATTCAATATATTCGATGTTGATGAAGGAAATGCAATCATCAGTCATAGGTTGTCTCACAAAAAGGTTCTTGTTGTTATCGATGATGTTGATAACAGAAAACACTTGGAACACTTGGTTGGAAGGCGTGATTGGTTCGGTTCAGGCAGTAGGATCATTGTAACAACAAGAGATGAACATCTGCTCCGATCTTATCGAGCCGATTATGTGTATAAGCCTACAACATTGAGTCCCAATGATGCACTTCGGCTTTTTAATTTGAAAGCTTTCGATAGTGAGACAGCGTTGGAAGATGTTTTCATTGAGCTTTCTGAACATGTTATAAGTTATGCTGGTGGTCTTCCCTTAGCTCTTGAAGTGTTGGGTTCTTTTTTGTGTGGTAGAGATTCAACTCAATGGAGAAGTGCAATTGAAAGACTTAAACGAGACTCCAACAAAGAAATTCTTGATAGACTTCGAATCAGTTTTGATGGATTGGAAGGAAGGGAAAAGAATATATTTCTTGATATCGCATGTTTCTTCAATGGGGAGGAGAAAGATTTTGTAACCAAAGTGTTGGATGGTTGTGAGTTTTTCCCAGATATTGGAATCGATGTTCTTGCTATGAAATCCCTAGTGGCAGTTGATGAAGACAACAAATTATGGATGCATGATTTGCTACAAGAAATGGGAAGAAAAATTGTTTGGGAAAAATCTATTGATGAACCTGGAAAGCGTTGCAGATTGTGGGATGAAAGGGACATCCAACATGTTCTAACAAAAGAAACTAAGTCTTCCCATGTACAAAAATATACATAATATTTTGAATATTTGATCGAGTAGGATGAATATATTTATTCATTATATTGCAAAACTATGTCATTTAAAATACTTTTAGTTGATTATAAATGTTATAAGGATTTGAATAAGTACATAATTTCAGTAAATCATTCTCATAGGAAAATGTTATAATTTGTTTAAAGTGATCTATTTACTATATTCCGATCAAAAGTTTTATCATGCGGTTTAAACCATTCATTCTGTCTTCTTATACTCTGTTCTTGATTACTTGTAGGCCACGGAGGTGATTGAAGCCATTATCATCGACAATCAAAGGTAGGAAAACATGGGTATTGATTTTAACGTTTTTCCATGGATTCGAAGAGTTCTTGAAATATCATATTACAATACTCTAATGCGTCAGACAAACATTCATTCTTTCTGGTGCTCAAAACTTCTTTGGTTTCCAGAGATTGATTGCAAAATGGATTGTCTAAAAACTCTTGATCTTTCCGGATGTTATAGAGTTGGATTTTTGCCAGAGAGTTTGCAGCTAGCAGAGTTTTTGGAAGAGCTCGACTTGAGTGAAACGGCCATAACAAAACCACCATACTTCATTTTTCAACTTAAAAATCTTAAAGTATTGTCTTTCAACGGCTGCAAGGGATCTTCATCTAAGTATCGAAAAAATCTGCCTTCTCCCTTCAAAAAAATCCAGAGAGAAGAGACAAATTCAATGGCTCTGATGTTGCCTTCATTGTCGGGTTTGAGTTCATTGACACAGCTGAAACTAAGGGACTGCAATCTTTGTGAAGGAGATATTCCTAATGATATTTCTTGTCTATCCTCTTTGGTAATGCTCAATCTCAGCAGTAACAATTTCATCAGCCTACCTGATTCTCTTACTCGACTTTCCAATCTTAAATATCTTGAATTGATGAATTGCCGGGGGCTGAAATCTTTGCCTGAGCTTCCAACAAGTATAATAATTGTGGACATAGAAGATTGTTCTTCTTTGGAACTAATTGCTAATCCATCTAAAGTTTGCAATTCAAGGGGTTTGGTGCGTGTTATAGGTACCAACTGCTACAGATTGGCTGAGAACATCAATGCATTAACATTACTGAAAAAACATATCAAGGTTGTTCAATCTCTCTTTTTTGCTTAACAAAATCTCGTTCTTAAGATTTGTGTTTTTAGTTACCAGCGAAGGGTGCTTTATTTGCAGGTATTGCAAATTCTTTTAGAAGGTTCGATGTTATTATGCCTGGAAGTGAAATCCCGGAATGGTTCAGCCATCAAAGAGTCGACTCTTCAATCAAGATGCCACTGCCTCTCAATATTCGGAATGATAGTCAATGGATGGGGGTTGCTTTCTGCTGCATTTTTTCTGGTGGTGATTCTTCGGGGGATGAGTTTATCAGCTGTAAAGCTGTTATCCATTATGTAGAACCTCGACGTCTTGGTGGCTTTCCCATTCCTTTAGGGAAAGGATTTAATCAGCCCATAAAAACTGACCACCTTTTTCTTGGTTATTTTCGGCGTGACGTGTTATATCCATATCCATATTCATTGGAGAATGAATGTGGTGAACGTGAAACCAAGAATACATCAACACAGGATTGCTCAAATCAGGAATGCGATGAACTTGAATTGTCATTCGAATATGTTGCTCGTGGCAAAGGTGTTGGGGTGAAGAAATGTGGGGTTGGGATAGTGTATGAGAAAGATTTGGAAGATGCCCAACTTACAACAGAGCAACACATCAAAGAAGGGCACAAATTGAATGAAGACTCCACTGTTGATGGACATATAGAGAGACGTGTTGGGAACCATTACGTACATAATCACCACTCTCGTCTTACTAATTCTTTGCGTAAGTTGTCTATTTGGTACCTCATCTATTTTTCTACTTTTGTTTTGATCGTCCAACTACTATATTTTGATATATATTTGTAAAAAAAATTGGTGGTTGACTTAATAAATATAGTAATGTGACATAATGAAGTAACAATTTTATTCTTTAACACTTATATTCTATTAAACTAAACCTAATTTGGAATAAACATAGTATTTAAATCATCATTCACCATATAAACATAATACGTCAATAAAGAAGAGGGGAAAAAGCTTCTTTAGCCCATCATTCACCATATAAACATGTATTTTGGCTTTATTTTTTTTCTAAATACAATATACCTCTAATTTAACACATAAACAAAATTATTTTAGATATTAATATAAAAAGTGTTGGATGGTTGAGTTTTTCCCAGATTTTGGAATCAATGTTCTCGTTAAGAAATCTCTAGTGGCAGGTAATGGAGACAACAGCTTGTGGATGCATGACTTGCTACAAGAAATGGGAAGAAAAATTGTTCGGGAAAAATCTATTGATGAACCTGGAAAGTGTTGCAGATTGTGGGATGAAAGGGACATCCAACATGTTCTAACAAAAAAAACTGTAAGTCATTCAATAAAACCAAGTCTTCCTACGTACAAAAATATACATAATATTTTGAATATTTGATCGAGTAGGATGAATATATTTATTCATTATATTGCAAAACTATGTCATTTAAAATACTTTTAGTTGATTATAAATGTTAATAAGGATTTGACTAAGTATATAATTTCAGTAAATCACTCTCATTGGAAAATGTTATAATTTGCTTAAAGTGATTTATTTACTATATTCCGATCAAAAGATTATCGTAATGTTAAACATAGTGTAAATGGTCAAAAGTTTTACCATGCAGTTTATTTTTCTGACCAAATTTATATCATACGTTGAATATTTTTCTTATATATACTTGGTATTATTTAAGAGTTTGATTGCAGTTAGTGTTAATGGAATACGTCCAATTGAGAAAAATTATAAATCGATGTATTACTAGATAATTGTGATTGTAAATTAAGTACATAAAAATGTGAAAAAAAAAATAAACAAATTGTTTAATTGAGTATCTTTGTAAAAATAAAACCGTTATAAAAGAAATGTCAATATTGAAAAAATATATTAATTTATGTATTGTTAAAGTATTAATGTGTAAAAAAACAAATTTGAATATCATCAAATATTTTATGTATCATAAAATATTTTAAAATAATATTTATCCAATATTTTTTAATTATTGAGAATAAATATATATTTTTATAATGTAATTGTTTAAATTTAAAATTTAGAAAGAAAATAAAAATTTTTTATCATTAGATTCAATTTCTTTTAAATATTAATGGGATTTTTTTAAAAAAAAATGGTCTAAAAGTTAAAATAATTTTATATTGTAATTTATAATTAAAGTAGAGTCCACCATGTGGACTTTACACTCGACTCGAGGCTAGTCAACAGTGAAGAGAAGAAAGCAAAGCAAACAGTTGTAGTCTCAGCTTCTTGGATTCTTCCGGGAAAACAGCTTCTTGGAAATTTCATCTCTTTTTCTATTTATTGATGCTCATATATTTGGACTCTTCCTAGTTTCTTCCTGCATATCAAGCCATCTATATTTCTTTGATTTGAACATCAGATTGAGACACCCTTTTCTTCCTCCTCTAATTCGTCATGTTGTCGTTGCCTTCGTCTTCCTCGTCTATTTCCGGCCACAAATATGATATTTTCTTGAGTTTTAGAGGTGAAGATATCCGCAGAACTTTTACATATCATCTCTATGATGCTCTTCAACGCAGTGGAATCGTCACTTTCAGGGATGAGCCGGAGCTGGAGACCGGCGAAGAGATTGCCCCAGAACTCTTTAAAGCCATTCAACAATCATGGTGCTCGGTAATCGTTTTCTCCAAAACCTACGCCTTTTCAAGTTGGTGTTTAGAGGAGCTTGCTGAGATTGTTAAACAAAAATTGGAAAAGGGTCATAAAATATTTCCAATTTTCTATGATGTGGATCCGTCTGATTTAAGAAAACAAAAGTATAAAGTTGGAGAAGCATTCTCCAAACACGATGATACATACAAGGAAGATCGACACAAGATCCAAATATGGCGAAATGCTTTCACTGAGGTTTCTAACATCAAGGGATGGCATTTGAATAACAAGTAATTCATTCTTTTCTCTCTTTGATCATTTATTTAATGGACATATCTGTTCATTTCTTAAATGAATAAAAAAACTAAATTTAATTTCTGTTGTAGGCATGAATCTAAATTCATTGGAACTATTGTTAAAAAACTCTCGGCAAAATTATGTCAAACGTATCCGATTGTTCATGATAAGTTGGTCGGAATTAGTTCCCGTTTGGAAGAGTTGTATTCAAAAATCGATGTTGGAGAAGATGATGTCCGTATTATAGGAATATGTGGAATGGGTGGCATTGGTAAAACCACTCTTGCAAGAGTTGTTTACGACCAAATGTCATCTCATTTTGAAGGTAAAAGCTTTCTTGCTGATGTTCGAGAAGTTTCAAACAAATTGGGACTTGCTTCTTTACAGAAACAACTTCTTACTCAAACATTGTCCGAAGGAGGATTCAATATATTCGATGTTAATGAAGGAAATGCAATCATCAATCATAGGTTGTCTCACAAAAAGGTTCTTGTTGTTATCGATGATGTTGATAACAGAAAACACTTGGAACACTTGGTTGGAAGGCGTGATTGGTTCGGTTTAGGCAGTAGGATCATTGTAACAACAAGAGATGAACATCTCCTCCGATCCTATCGAGTCGATTATGTGTATAAGCCTACAACATTGAGTCCCAATGATGCACTTCGGCTTTTTAAATTGAAAGCTTTCGATAGTGAGACAGTATTAGAAGGTGTTTTCATTGAGCTTTCTAAGCATGTTGTACGCTACGCTGGTGGTCTTCCCTTAGCTCTTGAAGTGTTGGGTTCTTTTTTGTGTGGTAGAGATGCAACTCAATGGAGAAGTGCAATTGAAAGACTTAAACGAGACTCCAACAAAGAAATTCGTGATAGACTTCTAATCAGTTTTGATGGATTGGAAGAAAGGGAAAAGAATATATTTCTTGATATCGCATGCTTCTTCAATGGGGAGGAGAAAGATTTTGTAACCAAAGTGTTGGATGGTTGTGAGTTTTTCCCAGATATTGGAATCGATGTTCTTGTTAAGAAATCCCTAGTGGCAGTTGATGGAGACAACAGATTGTGGATGCATGACTTGCTACAAGAAATGGGAAGAAAAATTGTTTGGGAAAAATCTATTGACGAACCTGGAAAGCGTTGCAGATTGTGGGATGAAAGGGACATCCAACATGTTCTAACAAAAAAAACTGTATGTAATTCAATAAAACCAAGTCTTCCTACGTACAAAAATATACATAATATTTTGAATATTTATTCATTATATTGCAAAACTATGTCATTTAAAATATTTTTAGTTGAATATCAATAAATCACTCTCATTGGCAAATGTTATAATTTGTTTAAAGTGATTTGTTTACTATATTCCGATTAAAGATTATCGTAATGTTAAACATAGGTGTAAATTGTCAAGTTTTATCATGGAGTAAGCCATTCATTCTGTCTTCTTATACTCTGTTCTTGATTACTTGTAGGCCACGGAGGTGATTGAAGCCATGATCATCGACAATCAAAGGTAGGAAAACATGGGTATTGATTTTAACGTTTTTCCATGGATTCGAAGAGTTCTTGAAATATCATATTACAATACTCTAATGCGTCAGATACAAGTATCAAATACGGATGATTGAAAACACAGTAATGGAGCAACATAGCTTTTAGGTATTGGATTTGTTTTTGCATAGTTTGAAGCTCATTTTTTGTTTTTCTCATGGTTATCAGGGAATCGAACAAGACACTCAATTTGAGTGTCGATGCCTTCTCGAAGCTGAAAAGATTGAGATTGCTCAAAGTTCTTTGCCTCTCAAATTGTGATGGTCTCAAATATCTTTCTAATGAGCTTTTAGATTGGAAAGGATGTCCTTCTCAGGCTTTCAACCGGACAACCTGGTTGCACTTCTGTTACAATACAGTCACGTTAAACAACTATGGAAGGGAACCAGAGTAAGAATTAATTCTATTTTTAAGATGAATGATGAAAATTTGATTATGATAGAGACAAAAATAACAAGAATGAGCTTTCTTATGTTTTCTCGTTTCTCTCTAATTTATTATTGTTTTCAACAGCCCTTGTACAAGCTGAAAGTGTTAAACCTCAGAGGCTCCCCGAACCTGATCAAGACTCCGGACTTCACAATGGCCCCAGATCTTGAAGTTCTGATCCTGGAAGGTTGTACAAAAATAGTTGATGTTCATCCATCCATAGCAGAGCTTAAGAGGCTTCAAAATTTGAATTTGAGAGGCTGCAAAAGTCTTAGGAAACTTCCAACCAAAATTGGATTGGACTCTCTTCAAACATTCATTCTCTCGGGTTGCTCAAATCTTCTTTGGTTTCCAGAGATTGATTACAAAATGGATTGTCTGAAAACTCTTGATCTTTCCGGATGTTATAGAGTTGGATTTTTGCCAGCGAGTTTGCAGCTAGCAGAGTTTTTGGAAGAACTCGACTTGAGTGAAACGGCCATAACAAAACCACCGTCCTGCATTTTTCGACTTAAAAATCTTAAAGTTTTGTCTTTCAACGGCCGCAAGGGATCTTCATCTAAGTTTCGAAAAAATCTGCCTTCTCTCTTCAAAAAATTCCAAAGAGGAAAGACAAATTCAATGGCTCCGATATTGCCTTCGTTGTCGGGTTTGAGTTCATTGACAGAGCTGAATCTAAGGGACTGCAATCTTTGTGAAGGAGATATTCCTAATGATATTTCTTGTCTATCCTCTTTGGTAATGCTCAATCTCAGTGGTAACAATTTCATCAGCCTACCTGATTCTCTTACTCGACTTTCCAAGCTTAAAGGTCTTGATGAATTGCCGAGGGCTGAAATCGTTGCCTGAGCTTCCAACAAGTGTAGAATATGTGAGCATAGATGATTGTGCTTCTCTGGAACTAATTGCTAATCCATCAAAAGTATACAATCGAATGGTTTTCATGTTTAAAGGTATCAACTGCTGCAGATTGGCTGAGAACATCAATGCATTAACATTGCTGAAAAAACATCTCAAGGTTGTTCGATCTCTCTTTTTTGCTTAACAAAATCTCGTACTTAAGAATTTGTGTTTTTAGTTACCAGCGAAAAGGTGTTTTATTTTGCAGGTATTTGCAAATTCAAGAGAAAGGTTTGCTGTTATTATGCCTGGAAGTGAAATCCCGGAATGGTTCAGCCATCAAAGAGTCGACTCTTCAATAAAGATGCCACTGCCTCTCAATATTCGGAATGATAGTCAATGGATGGGAGTTGCTTTCTGCTGCATTTTTGCCGGTGGTGATTCTTCGGGGGATGAGCAAATCTGGTGTGATGTCAGTTGTAGAGGAGCTCGAAATCTTGGTATGTTATACATTCCTTTAGGGAATAGATTTAATCAGCCCATAAAAATGACCACCTTTTCTTCGTTACTGGGGGCGTGACTTGTATATCCATATTCCTTGAAGAACGAATGTGGTGAAAGTGAAACCGAGAATACATCAACACCTGATTGCTCAAATCAGGAATGCGATGAAGTTGAATTGTCATTCGAATATTTTGGCAAAGGTGTTGGGGTGAAGAAATGTGGGGTTGGGATAGTGTATGAGAAAGATTTGGAAGATGTCCAACTTACAACAGAGCAACACATCAATCAAAGTAGCCCACAAATTGAATGAAGACTCCACCGTTGATGGACACAGAGAAAAGTTTGTTGATTATGCCGACTTTCTAATCACCACTCTCGTCTTGGTAATTCTTTGCGTAAGTTTTCTACTATATTTTGATATATATATTTTTTTAAAAAAACTTGATCGTTTACTTAATAAAAATAGTAATGTGAAATAATGTACCAACAATTTTAGTCTTTTAACCCTGACATATTCTGTTAAACTAAACCTAATTTGGAATAAACATACTATTAAACCACCATTCACCATATAAACATAATATGCCAATAAAGAAGAGCATAAAGGAAAAAAAAAAGCTTATTTAGCCCATCATTCACTAAAGTTAGTTATACGACGTGAGTCGGTCCGAATATAATAGATCATTTAGTTGAATATATAATAGTTGAATATAATAGTTCATTATATATATATATATATAATATTAAATTATAGTTAATATAGGATTTAAAGTGAAACGAGTTTAAAATTTTTATATTTTAAAATATATTTATATTTTCTATACTTTATAATAATGGAAAAATATTATATTTAATTTAAAAATATAAAATACTAAACTATTTTTTTAAAACTTATATAAACTTTAATATAATATTTTTTCCAATTCGTCTTACCTATACAACAACTCTATGAGATATTATAAAAAATTATATCAAATCACTAAATAATATTACATGTATTTTAAATCTATATCTTTTCTAAATACAATATACATCTAACTTAACGCATAAACAGATTTTTTTTAGATATTAATAAAAAGGGTTAATTACATCATTCCTCACTTAACTATACTTTCTCTCCTGTTTTACTCGATGTACTTTCAACTTTTTAATTTACTCATTGAACTTTCAAATTACTCCAGTTTTGATTACTTTGAATTATTTTATTATTTCTATATGACATGACATTTTTATTATTATTTAATTTAAAATAATTGAAATATAAACTAAAAACATAGGGTGGTCGAAAGCCACCGTCGACCACCGTTAACCGCCATATATGGTGGTTGTTTTGTCTCAATTTCATGGCTCTTGTTCATCTCGACACCGTGATTCCGAATCCGCCCTCCATTTTGTCGGGACTTGCTCTGGAGTCCACGAATTAGAGATCGAAAGTGAAGAAGCTGAAATGTTTCAGTCGAGATTCATGAGTTTTTGGGCATTTTCTGGTGAAACAACCACCAAATTTGAGACCAAACGACTACGATCTACAGCGGTCGAAACAAACAAGACCCATAAATTTGAGACCAAACGACTACGATCTACAGCGGTCGATGGTAGCTGGTTGTGGCGTCCGATCACATTATGTTTTTATTTTATATTTTCAATTATTTTAAATTAAATAATAGTAAAAATGCCACAGCATATAGAAATAATAATAAAATAATTCAGAGCGATCAAAATATGAGCAATTTGAAAGTTCAGTGTGTAAATTAGAAAAATTAAAAGTTCGGTGAGTAAAATAGGAGACATATTATAGTTAGTGAGGAACACTTTATTTTACCCATACTAAAAACACATTTAAGAGATAAAATGAAATGAATAAACTATGTGTTTAATACTTAAACTATTAATTTTGGTCTGTTTTAGTACCTAAACTTTCTGTTTTTTCAAATCATACATAACATTTAGTTTTTGTTCTATTTTAGTACCCGTTGTTAAAAACTTAATGGACGAGCTCATCGGTCGTCGTAGCTACAGTTGCCAATCATCGTATCTGTTGGCCGATGAAACCCAAACTTTCTACCCCGTACCTTTTCGACCCCTTAAATGTGATTTCGACCTCCTTTTCACCAAGAAATGCCTCAATCTCCCTAAATCGACTGTGGACTCTTCGATTTCTTCATATTCTAATATTAATAGTCTACCGACCGATAAGCTTGAAATTGGAATATGTTGGTTAACTCGTCATTCTCTCGTGGTCCACCATCCAATAGGCCTAAAAGTGGACTATGTTGGTCGACTCGTCATTTTCTCGTGGTCCATCGTTTAATTGGTCATCCATCCACTGGAGTTATTCCTCATCAGTCTATATGTTAAGTTATGCCACAATTCTCTTGGATTTGAATCAACCAAGTTAACTTCAGAGACCACAACACATAGGTCAAGTTCAGATACTTCCTTGGAAATTTCTTTCACAACATTACCCACTTTTGTTATGGACCTTTTTGAAAGCCTACATTTGGATGACATGTGTCCCGTCTTATTGCAATTAAAGCATTTCCCTTGAAATTTTTGCTTCTTAGAAACACTGCCTTTTGGTCCTAGTTTAGACTCAATTTGAGCTTGCTTTCTTTTCTTGATGTAGTTACGGCATAAGAAATCAGAGTGCTTCCATGCTTCGGTAATGTTGAATGCGGTTGCAGCATCCACTTCATCCTCTCTAATAGTAGGAGGATCATCCTTTAAAAATTTAGCCAGATTCAATATCGTCAAATAAAACAACATTTTCTGTTGCCATGTTTTGAAATTCTCTCCATTGAATTTTGCAGGCTTTTCATTATGACTCATGGTCATAGGTAACGTTTGGCTCGCAGCCTGAGTCTGTGTAGCGACAATCGCATTAGACTCTGAATTGGATGAAGTATCAAACATTTTTCTGTAATCAGAATAAAAACTGAAATAATAAATATAATATGAAATGAAATATATATTAACCTAAATATATTACCACGATAATCTGTTTGAGTTGAGATTGAACTACAACACAAGGAATTTGTCTTAAGATTGTTGCAAATTATTGAAAAATAGCGTTGTAGTATTACAATCTAAAAATTTTGTTTCAATAATAAAGTTAAAAAAATGTGAAATTAAAATAGAACCTGTAATCGGATGAAACTAAATAAATAAAAGAAGAGTTTTGTTGAGGCCTGAATGAACAGTTTCCTTAAGACAAATTCGTCATCTCCTCGGTGCTTTGCGTAACGTTAGACGTCGGTCTCCCAGGATACAACAACAAACATTCACAACAATAAGCACAACCGTTATAAACAATTGAGCATAATCTTTGTCTTTATCTATCACTGAAAAATGACTTTGGAAGAATCAGAGAATTGAAAGGAAAGTATTTGAAAGAAAATAGTAAAATTTATGTGTTGAGATGTGTCACAACTTAGCCTTTATATAGGGAGAGGAATTTGTATTGAAATGTTAAGACCTTTAAATGAAATGACTTAACCATTTGATTAAAAATTATAACCTTTTGATCAAAAGGTTAACATGGAAATACATGACTTTTAGGATGAAATAACTATTTTTCATGAAAATACTTAATTATTTTTCATGAATAGTCATGATTGAATAAATCAATTCATTCATATTTTCCAACAGTTTTGTTTCTTTATGATTCAATGTTAAAACTAGTGATTTTTTGTCATTCGATTATTTTCTCTATTTAGTTTTGGTTTAATTTCATTTTTAAAATAACAACCGAAATTCAATCTATTAATTGATTAATTCATATAGCGACGATTGTCCCAATCCAATATGTTGTAATTGTAATTGTTAGGATTCAAATTCTTGATCTTACTTAAAGAATCTAATGCTTATCCTACCAAACGAACTGGTTGATGGTAGATTTAATTTCTTTGCTTCTGAAGAAGTTTCAAAATTTTTTAGAAACGATCTGATTATTGATTTTATTTATTTTATTTAATAATCGTGTTTAATTTATTAAATAGTTTGATAACATTCTATTAATTCTAATATATTCATCTATTCATAGTATTTTTCTCGCCATATATCTTTTGGTTTATTTTTCTCACCATATTTATATAATACGTTAAAGAGAAAATCGCCTCAGTGACCAAAAATGCCTTAAAATATACGATTTTAATCAACTTTTTTTGGATTTGCCAAAATGACCAACAAAATCACAATGCGAAATAAAAATCGCAACGCGATTCCCAGAATCGCAAATCAGTTTCAAGAATCGCAACGCGTATCTGGAAAATCGCAATGCGAATTTGTACTATCACATTGCGATTTTACAGAATCACAA